AGCCAGCCCCTCAGGCCGCCCCCGTCCCCAGGAGGAGGAGCTCCTTGTGCTGGTTGGCCAGGACCGATCTTGCCGGCCCCTGCGTGGAAGGCGGGAGGGACGGGCCGGGGCCCAACACGGCCTCCTGGAGGTCGGAACCTCAGGCTGGGGATCGGGCCCCAGTGCAGGCCTGGATAGCCGTCTAGCGGCACCCGCCACCCAAACGTCCTTTTCCCAGCTTTCCGGTCTTGTGATGATTACGGAGCGCTCCGCCTCCTCCAGGAAGTCCCCCACCCCCACCCCCCAGTTAGCCAGGCGCCTCCTCCACCGTAGAGATCTTTTTCTGTATCTGTCTCCATTGAGTTTCATTCATTCATTAACTGCCGGCCATCTATATATTCCAGGCCCTGGGCACATAGTAGTGAAGGAAGCAAGCCAGGAGCCTCCCTCTGGGAACTTCCTTGTAGCAAAAGACCATAAATAGACAAGACGATTTCAGTGCTCTGAAGGGAGTGGAGTAGTGTTAGGGTGGGGGCGTCTACTCAGGAAGGAGTGCCCGTGCCCGTGCCCGTGCCAGGAGGAGGGATAGGAGAGGGTACAGCGAGTGCAAGACAGGCTGCAGTGCCTTTGAGGGACAGAAAGGCAGGCAGGGTGCCTGGGGTGCAGAGAACAAGGGGGCTGGCCCTGCAAGAAGAAATGGGGGCGGCCAGGCTTCCTGTCCTCTGGGCAGGGACCACTCTCAGCCCATCTCCATGCCTGCTGGGCACAGTGTATTGCATGTTGTGGATGCCCTTCCTGTGTGTGTGGAATGCGTGTGTAAAAATTCACAGGGAACCCCGTGGATTTGAAATTTGGCTCCCTCACCCGTCAACTTTCCCGATCTGTCTCTTGGCTGATGGTCATTTCATTTAGTCGCCTTATTTGTTAAAGCATCCGCTCTGTCCCAGACACTAAACGGTGCCTCAGCAGCACAAAGCGAAAGAGGTGGCATGGACCAGTGACTTCATGTTTGGCCTCAACGCTCAGTTCTGCCACTGACTAACTGAGGCATTGGCCAAATTAGGCAGCCTCTCCGACGCTCTGTTGTTGCGGGTATAAAAGGGAAAGTAAGAGTATCCACCTCAGACAAGTTATGCCTATTAAACGAGAGGTTGTCGGTTACCTAGCCCCTCAGTACACATTAGCTGCTATAATCACAATCGCAATGACTCTTGTATCCATAGTGCACTAGTGTACAATCCCAACGCGTGCGGAGAGAGCTGTGGGGAGCATAAGCGGTGGTGTGGAGCCGGGTGTTACAGAGGAGGTTACACTGAGCCTTTTGAAATCTGAGAAGGATCTTACAAAGTAGGGTAGGGCATTCCAAACAGATCACCAATTGCGCAAATTCAGGCGGCTTCTTCAACTTGTGGGTATAATCCAGGGAAAAGAATGTAAACGAGAAATAAAGGCGCCACGTAAATGATGTTGGACCTTGGAAGTGATGAGATTCCAGTTTGCCTCTGATTACATCCCCCGTTATGGCCAAAGAGCAGGTGGCATGTGGCTTCTACGCAGGCCCCGAACGCCCCTTGTTCCTGTCCTCTAAATGGCTGCGTTCAGCAGCACCCGAGGGCACTGCTCCCATCCTGTGGCAGCAGGCAGGAAGTTTTGTAATCAGTTTCTCTCTTAAGGCCTGCCTGTTGGTGGCAAGACTTAAGACTCCTAAAAAGCTCTGTGCCAAGTGTTCTCTGGCTTTGTGTGTGTGATACTTTGGAGCCCCTTTTCCTTGACCTAATTCTGCTTTTTGTGTCCTTCCACAGGTTCCCCAACACAACTCACGAAGTTTTCAATGTCACCCTCCACACCAGCCTGGTTGTCACTACAAAACTGGTGCTCCCGACCCCTGCCAGGCCCATCCTCCCTGTGCAGACCGGGGAGCAGGCTCAGCAGGAGGAGCAGTCCAGTGGCATGACTATCTTCTTCACCCTCCTTGTCCTAGGTGAATGCAGTCACCATCATCTACCATCTTGCGTGTCTATGCGTGTTGTGTGTGGTTAACCCCCTTTAAACCACTGCTTACTTTGTCAAGTCTTCCATTTGGATTTCACTTCCGACTGAGGGACTATGATAGTGCGTAACATTATAGCAGGGTACTTCTTTTTCTTCATAAAAACTTAGAGCTTAACAATTCTGAAGAGCCCTTTTTGAAATATCTGAGATGTCCTTTGGAAGAGAGAATTAAAGATGTTTGACCTAGAAACAACCTTGAACGTCTAGTTGAGTGGATTTCAAACTCTGCTCATGAAAGTCTCTGTGTGTATGGTAGCAGGAAGTAGAGGTAGTCAAATGGAAGGGCATCTGACTTTGACCAGAGCAGCGTTTTGTCTCATCTCTATTAAGCTTCTGTATAAAATTTTATGTAAAGGTTTTGCTGCTGAGGAAAAGATCAGGGGCCCTTGTCCTAGCACACTGTTATCCTTAACCTCTGTCATTTCATTAACCATGGTCATGACTTTCGCCATATCTGTATAACACCGGTGCTGTTATTATGTAATATTTTTCTTTCAACAGAGTCACTGTGTCAAACTTAAAATCTCATTTTGTTCAGCCTCCTCCTTTAACAGGTGAGGAAATTTAGGCCCAGAGAGGTTAAGCGATTGACACACCTAAGATCTGGGAACTAGAGACTAACAGCCAGATTACAAGACATCATTCAAGAAGTTTAGGTAAAAGGCATTAACTTCACTGCCTTCCAGACTATAGAGAATAGGCAACTGTGTTAAACAAACATAAAAATAGCCAGTTGAAACTGCACAACCACTTTGGATTAGCTGACTAGAGAAGAAATAGCTTAGAACTTGACCCAAGTCCAAACTCTAATTTGAAAAGTGAAGCTGGCATGTTTACATTTTCCACTCTTCTTTAATGATAGTTAGTCATATTTCCAATTAGATCTTTTTAGAAAAGTGAAAGGTGCAACTAGATTTAAAGGTACAGAGTATTTCTCTGCTGTCCATTAAGTGTTTTTTGAGGGAAAGTATCACTTCTTTCACACTTTAGTCAGACTTTTAAAGTCAATTTTAATAATACAGTAATTTTTCTTGTTAATTCTCACCCGAGGATATTTTTTCCATTGATTTTTTTAGAGAGAATGGAAGGAAGGGGGAGAGATAGAAACATCAATGAGAGAGAGACATCAATTGGCTGCCTCCGTGGGGCCGGGGATCAAGCCTACAACCAAGGTATGTGCTCTTGACTGGATTGAACAATCAAGGACTCTTCAGTCCGTTTTTTTAAAAAACTGTGTTCCTATTGCCCTGGCCAGTGTTCTCAGTGATTAGAATGTCAGCTGCCCACAGGAGGGTCTCAGGTTTGATTCCCAGGCACGGGCGTGTACCTCAGTTGCAGGTTCGCTCCTCTCCCCAGTCGAGGCGCATATGGAAGGCAACCAGTCAATGCATCTCTCTCACATCGGTTTCTCTCTCTCCCTCTCCCCCACCACCTTCCTCCATCCCTCCCTGCTACTCTCCCTGAAAAGCAATGGAAAAAAATATCCTCAGGTGAGGATTTAAAATTACATATATACACTAGAGGCCTGGTGTACAAAATTCATGCATGGGTAGGGTCCCTAGGCCTGGCTGGTGATCAGGGCTGATCTGTGGGGCAACCAGCAGGGAGATCAGGGGGCCCTGTTGGCACCTGCCTTGGCCAGCCTGGTGCTGCCTACTCGTTGGCCGCCTCCCTCTGCAGGGCAATGTTCGGGGGGAGGGGGTGAAGGCTGGGGGTGGGTCTCCACTGTCACCCGCCTTGGTTGGCCTGGGACCTGTTGGCTGGGAGCAGCTCCTGCATTGAGCATCTGCCCCCTGGTGGTCAGTGCACATCATAGCGACTGGTCTTTCCACAGGTAGTTCCACCATTCAGTCCATTTACATGTTAGGTTTTTATTATATAGGAAATATGTGTGTGTGTGTGTGTGTGTGTGTGTGTTGTATTGATTTTAAAGAGAGAGGGAGTGAAAGAGAAGCATTGATGATAGAGAAACAAGAATTGAACCATCAGCCTTTTGGTGCAATAATACAGTAATTTTATTTAAAGTCCTAGGGCTCATCCTTGTGTCTCATTAATTAAAAACAAACAAAACACAGAAAGAACTATTATATCTGGCTTCTTTCACTTAGCGTCATGTCTTCAAGGTTCACCCAAGTTGTAGCTTGTGTTAGAATTGTATTCCTTTGTGTGGCTGAATAATATTTCATTGTAAGGACATCACATTATGTTTATCCATTTATCAGTTGAGGGCATTTGTGTTGTTTCCACCTGTTGATTATTGTAAATAGTTATGCTATGAACATTTGTGTACACATGTTTTTTTGTTTTGTTAAATATATTTTTATTGACTTCAGGGAGGAAGGGAAGGGGAAAGAAAAAGAGAAACATCGATGATGAGAGAGACTCATTGATTGGCTGCCTCCTGCACACCCCCCACTGGGGATCGGGCCTGCCACTGGGGATCGGGCCTGCAATCTGGGCGTGTGCCCTTGACGGAAATCAAACCCAGGACCCTTCAGCCCACAGGCTGTTGCTGTATCCACTGAACCAAACCAGCTAGGGCTGTGTACCCATTTTTGTGTACATATATTTTTCTTTCTCTTAGATAAACAGTATAAACCTAGGAGTGGAATTGCTGGGTGAATGGCTACTCTGTGTAACTTTCTCAGGAACTGCCAAACTTTTCCACAGAGGCTGCACCATTTTACATTCCCACCAACAATGCTCAAGTGTACAATGTCTCATATAGATTTACTATCCCAGATAATTTTTTACCCTGCAAATGTAATTAAATTCTGTTTCTAGGGGATTACTTCAAAAATCAAAGACTCTTGTTTTCTTTTTCTTTTAATATAGCAGCTGAATACAAAGAAGAAAGGCAGTTCTTTTCTTAATCAAGAAATCTTTAGTTCTTTAAATCCTGAAGTATTATTAATCTATTTACATTGTTGTCAGCTTGATATATTAGAGAATATAAAAGGATTGCTTGGGGAAAAAAAAGCTTTTGTTTTGTAATCACTTTTTTCACAGGAGGGTGAAAAGCATAAGTAAGATTTTCAAAGTAATTTTCAGGATGTGTAGCATTTAAGATTATTTTGTGCCAAAGACTACAAAACAGGTTTTTTAATGTGCTTTTTCATCCAGGCAAAATTCCGCCCAGTGTTAATGCATGTTTGGGGCCAGAAAGGACTGAACTGTATTTAGAGTGCTGTATATTTATCTTGGATTGTCTTCTCCTCAAACAGTTCATAAACCTAGACTCTAGAGTCCCACTAATGTCACGCAGGTTCCATTTTCACCTAATCAGATTCTTGGCAGTTTATGAGTTGGAATCTCCACTTTTTATGTGCAGGTCAACATTTCTTTAGAAGAAAGGAATGCTTTCTAAGTAATTTTGAAGACATTTTTCCTCTGCTCTTGTATATTATCAAGATAACATAATTATTGTATGTTCCTGATTAGATATGTCTGATAAAGTACAAAAAAAATACTGTTAATAGGTAATTTGCTAACTCACTACATGAACTCTGGTGAGTTGAGGGAAATCATCAGTCCATAGTTCAGTCTTCAGGAACTACTAATCTGGAACACATTTGCCACTTTGTTTACTATGTTAGTCATTCAAATGAAATTATAACATTTGTGTCCCAAAAGGGTGGGAAAGGATTACATTGTTTTCCTCTTTGTTGAGAAGGGATGCCAAAACTCTTCGACTTTTAGAAGCTTGGAATCAGTTGACTTATATATATACTTAACCACTGCTGAACTTTGACTCTGCAGAAACAATGGTGAGTCACTGTTCTTGACTTGCACTAGAGTTAGCAATTAGCATCATTTGACACATCCATTTTATGAGCCATTAAATTTATTAGCGTTATTAAAATTGGCACGTCTGTGTTTTAATATAGCTTACATAATTATTGCTTCAAGCATGAAAAGTTGGAAGCATTTTAACTTGTGGTATGCGTATTCTCCATGCCACATAGAAGTTTTTGTTCCTTTTTGCTTTTTTAGCCCCCCGGGTGAATTTGGAAACATGTACTTGTATTGTGTATATACTTTTGTACATTCATAAGCACATATTCACATAAAGGCACATATAGCTTGGAGTTTGTTTATTTTAATATAAATGGGGTCCTATAGCTTGCTTTTTCATCTCACAGAATGTCTTGGAGGTCTTTCCAAGTTAGTGTTTTTTATATACCTCATCCTCTTTTTTCCTTTTAGAGGATATATATGTGCTAAAAATAAACATAACATAAAATTTACCACTCTAAAAATGTACAATTCAGTGGCATTTACTACATTACCACCATTTAGTTCTTTTTTATCCCAAAAGGAAACCCGATACCCATTAAAAGCATTCACTCCCCATTTACCCCTCTCCCCAGTCTCTGATAAACATAAAATTCTGCTTTCAATCTCTAAGAATTTGCATACTCAAAGTATTTTATACAAATAGAATCATATAATATATGATCTTTTATGTTTGTCTTCTTTCATTTAGCATCATGTCTTCAAGGTCCACCCATGTTATAGCAAGTGTTAGAATTGTATTCCTTTGTATGGCTGAGTAGTAGTCCATTGTAAGGATATACCACATTATGTTTATCCATTCCTCAGTTGATGGACATTTGTGTTGTTTCCTCCTGTTGACTGTTGTAAATGGTTCTGCTATGAACATTTGTGTACATGTTTTTGTATGGACACAAGTTTTTGTTTCTCTTGGATATATACTTAGGAGTGGAATTGCTAGGTTAAATAGTTATTCTCTATGTAACTTTCTCAGGAACTGCCAGACTTTTCCACAGAGGCTAGCTGACTGCACCGTTTTACATTCCTACTAGCCAGACCCAAGGGTTCCATTTTCCTTACATCCTAACTAACACTTATTATTTTCCAGTTTGTTTGTTTTTTTAATTATAGCCATCCGAGTGGGTGGGAAGTATCTCACTGTGGCTTTGATTCGCATTTTGCTAATGACTAATGATGTTAAGCATCTTTTCATGTGTTTATTGGTCGTTCATATATCTTGGGAGAAATGTCTATTCGGGTCCTTTGTTCATTTTTAAATTGTGTTGTTTTCATTTTGTTGTAAGAGCTCTTTATATATTCTGGCTACTAGGCCCTTATCAGATATCTGATTTATAAATATTTTCTCCCATCCTGTGGGTAGTTTTTTCAGACCTCATTCTCTTTAATGGCTGATGACCTTCCTTGAGCCCTATATTTAGCCCTTTCTGTTAATAGTTTCCATCTTTGTTCTGAAAGATGCAGATGGTTTGATTTAGGAGAATACATGTTTTAAATTAAGTTTTCATCCAGCTTGGTGCAAAAAAGGATCAGAAACTGATTTAGCTCCCTAATTTATTATCTATCTACTTATGTGCTCACGCACCTGTCTGGAACTTTTTCTTGCTCTTAGTATTTAATGTAGGATTTTTCTAAATAGGTTAAATATTTATAATAACACCACAGGTTGATAGTGTAGAGCAGCAGTCGCCAACCTTTCAGACCACCAGTTGGCGACCGCTGGTTTAGAGCACAGAATGAAAGGACAAAATTTGTATATTTACAACTATTTCCTTTCTCTGGCCACCTGGTGCTTTTTGGTGGAACTAAAGATATCTAATCTGTCACTGTGGCTCTGAGGGTGGCCAGTTAACAGCCATGCAGATTGTTTAAAGACTCCTTTTTACAAAAAAATAATAATAAATTATTTTTAGTATTATTAAGATGATACTTTGATTGAGGAGGTAGTATACCACCTAGATGCCTAACAAAAAGAGACATGCGCATTAACACTTGGACCATGAAATTACATTTAGGAATTATTTATGTAAAAGTATACTTTAGTTGGGGGGGGGAATCCAGAAGTACTTGTTACTTTTAAATAGTTTTATATTCTTTTCTTTTATGACAACACATCTGTGAGGAAAGTCAGACATTAATTGTATTTTCGTGACTGAGGCATGAGGGCAGCCAGGAGGGAGGTAGGGGTGCCCAAGGTTAAGGGCACAAGTTTGGAATCTGGCTCCACCCTGCAGCACCTCCCAGTGAAGTGACCTCTGAGCCCCAGTTTTCTCATCTAGAATCAAAGGAGAGAATGGTAACAACAGTTAAGAGGGGTGTTGGGGGTCAGAACAGTGCCTGGCAAATGGGGAGCCATCACCCAGCTGGAGAGCAAGTACCCCATCTTTAGGTTTCTGACGATCTTATCACCAAACCAAAGCATTTACTTTGTTCTGTTTATAAAACACTCTCACTTTCCTCTGTGTTAAGAGAGAACCAATCACCAGGTGGTAAAATACTTCATGTCAGCATATTATAGTTATATGGAAGTGATTGATTTCATTGACTTGGTCTTCACTATTTGGAGTTTTTCAGTTGATGACTACTTCAGTAAAGTTGAAGACCATTTCTTAGAATCTGGGAAGTTTGAATAATTTTAATTGCTTAGAAAAATATTAGCTGTCTGATGCTCTTAGATGTAAAGAAGTACAGAAAAAAATGTTTTAAACACTGTGAGTCTACAGTTATAATACTGTGAGTTTCCAGTTAAAGAAATAGATTGCAAATGCCACTGAAGTTTACAGTGTCACTGACAGTTGTCCATTTCCCTGGCAGCCCTCCAGAAGTAATTATTGCCTTGAACTTGGTATTTATCATTTTAAAATGTGCTGTTTTAACAATGTCTTATTTTTCCTACAGCTATCTGCATCATATTGGTGCATTTACTGATTCGATACAGATTACATTTCTTGCCAGAGAGTGTTGCTGTTGTTTCTTTAGGTAAGTGCTTATTGGTGAGTCTAATAAAAGCAGTAGCAATAACTATGATTTTTTTTAGTGCCTCCTACTGCCAGGAACCACAAAAGATGTACATTCCTGATCTCATTTAATCCTCACTACCACCTGCCATGAGGGTGTTTACAGGTGAGGACATTGTGGCTCAGAGAGGGGTGATGACCTCATGAAGGTCACATAGAAACCCCTCAGTACAGCTCCAAGGCCTTTTCTACTTCTAGAATACATCTGCTACTAGGCTCTGCTGACATTCTGCTGAACTAAGACAAGTAATTGGCACTTTAATTCATAGTGTCACTGAATTTTATAGCCAATGGGGCTCTCACTTTACAGTTTACAGGGGTGGGCAAACTTTTTGACTCGAGGGCCACAATGGGTTCTTAAACTGGACCGGAGGGCCGGAACAAAAGCATGGATGGAGTGTTTGTGTGAGCTAATATAAATTCAAAGTAAACATCATTACATAAAAGGGTACGGTCTTTTTTTTCAATAGTTTTATTCATTTCAAATGGGCCGGATCCGGCCCGCGGGCCGTAGTTTGCCCACGGCTGGTTTAGGAAAAAGAAATGGCTCACTTCAATGTCAGAGTCAGATCTAAAGTCTTCAGAGAGCATTCCATTCTACCTCGAATTTCTCCCTTTTGTTTCCTGTGGCATTTAACTCGTAAGATAATTAGCCTCTATTTAAAGGGAATAACAGGTGTGACCTCATTTGTACATTCATTGAAGTGGTTAGTGGAGGAAGAGGCAGAGACCTTATTTTCAGTGAGTACTAAGATGAAGAGGAAAATGTTGGTGGGGATGCTTAAGACATAGTAAATAAGCCGTAACCGGTTTGGCTCAGTGGATAGAGCATCGGCCTATGGACTGAAAGGTCCCAGGTTTGATTCCGGTCAAGGGCATGGACCTCGGTTGCGGGCACATCATCCCCAGTGTGAGGTGTGCAGGAGGCAGCTGATCAATGTTTCTCTCATTGATGTTTCTAACTCTCTATCCCTCTCCCTTCCTCTCTGTAAAAAATCATCCAAACCTTTAAAAAAAAAAGACATAGTAAATAAGATTTTACTAAGTTCAGCTAAAGCTCTTACCAGATTATAATATTGTAGTTACTTACAGGCCTACTGATGATATTTAGTTTTTTCTTATCACTGCTGATGCTTTAAGTTAATTTTCTTTGCCTTGTACATTTTATTTAGTGTATTTAGTGATTATTTCACAATATAGTTGTGGTTTAGGTTAACTTTGGAAATGAACTCTCAGGCTCTGTTCATTCTCCTTCCCCGTCACCACCTGTGCTCCTGCTGCCCGTGTTCAGCCCTCCTCAGTCCAGCCTTCCCTGGACTTCACAGTCTACTATGTGCCAGTTCTGGCCTAGGAGTGTTCGCATTGCCGTCTCATCTAAGCTTCATGACCCCCAGTGATGCCATATTTTAAGGAAGAGGCACCACTGTATAGCATTGATCTTTAGTAGAGCTGAAAACCAGTTTTGCTCAAAAGAGTTCCTGCTCTCTGTTTAGTGGGCTCTTCAGCTGTACCCCATGGCAGATTCTAATAGCCTTAGCTAACAGGATAGCCTTAGAACTCTAAGAATGGGAGGATCATTCATTAACGTTCCTTTTTCTATTTTAGGCATGTTGAAAATAACCTACATAGCTAATACCTATTATTCTGGGGCATTTCAGTGAAGACTTTAAAAAGCCATTACAAGGAATTTACAGTTTTGCAGTCCGTTTTCATAGTTCCTTAAAAATAATAAATATAGTTGGTGCATATTTCGGTATGTGCACATGGAAATTAAAATGATGGTATTATCATTTGGTTTGGAATGTCAAATTTTTCACTATTTCTTGCATGTGCTTGTATTAGGACTTACAGCATACATTATTGATTGCCTATCCAAGAGTCATTTCCGCCCTTCTTCCTTGAAAATAGAGCCCTTATTTTGATCAAGTGTCTTGCCACAATGTGCTCACAGAAGATGGGCCCCTCCAAATCAAGATTGGTCTTTGCTGTCATAATAATTTTACTCTGCTTTGCCAAAGAAGGATAGAGGTAGCAAGGCAGTGTAAAATCCAGTTCTGGCCAGTGAGACCAAGGGAATGGGTGCTCAGTGGTGGCTCTAGGAAAAATCCTCTTCTCTCTGATAAAAACAGTAATTTTCCCTTTCTTTGATGCTATTGTATGAGGATGTGATGCCTGGAGCTCTGGCAGCCATCTTTCTGCTACTGTGGCTCAAAGACAAAAGGTAGAATACTAACAGATGAGAAGCCTAGATTCTTTTTATTTTTTAATATATTTTTATTGATTTCAGAGAGGAAGGGAGATGGAGAAAGAGATAGAAACATCAATAATGAGAGAGAATCGTTGATTGGCTGACTCCTGCACACCCCACACTGGGGATTAAGCCCACAACCCAGGTTTGTGCCCTTGGCTGGGATCAAACCTGGGACCCTTCAGTCCACAGGCTATCGCTGTATCCACTGAGCCAAACTGGCTAGGGCATTGACTGCATTTTTGTTTGTTGAATTGATAGCTTCCTATCTCAGAGTTGCCTTTTATATGAGAGTAGAGGCCCGGTGCACAAAATTTGTGCACTAGGGGGTGAGGGTCCCTTAGCCTGGCCTGCACCCTCTCGCAGTCCAGGGCGCCTCAGGGGATGTAATCCTGGGATCGGGCCTAAGCCGGCAGTCAGACATCCCTCTCGCAGTCTGGGGCTCTTGCAGTCTGGGACCCCTCGCTCCTTACTGCCTGCCTGCAGCGGAGGTGGGAGAGACTCCTGCCACCTCCGCTGCGCTCACCAGCCATGAACCCGGCTTCTGGCTGAGCAGCACTCCCCCTGTGGGTGCACACTGACCACCAGAGGGCAGCTCCTACATTGAGCATCTGCCCCCTGGTGGTCAGTGCACATCATAGTGACCAGTAGTTCCCCCAGTGGGCAGGCTCTCTCCATGTGGTAAGTCTTCATAGCTTCAGGCTTACTGTCTTTACAGTAGCAAACAGAGCCTCTCCAGTGTGGCTCAGTGGTTGAGGATCGACCCTGAACTAGGAGGTCACAGTTCGATTCCCGATCAGGGCACATGCTGGGGTTGTAGACTCGATATCCAGTGTGGGGAGTGCAGGAGGCAGCCAATGAATGGTTATCATCATTGCTGTTTCTCTCCCTCTCCCTTCCTCTCTCTAAAACCATTAAACAAACAAATAAACAGTCATATTTATAGTAGCAAGCAGAGTGGGCAGGGTGGCCTCCTCTTCTCCCTGGTTCCACAAGAAGTTGTAGATGACTTCTGACCACATGGCCACCCCAGAACTGGGCATGGTGGGGGGTTGGGGGGAAATGATGTTGGGGATCAACCAAGGCTCTCCATCCACAAGATTCATATGTTTACTGATGTTGCAGAAATAACTGTAGACTGTACAGGCAGGTCTTGGGAGGGATAATGGAAAATAATTATTTTCAATAATTATTTGCTAGCTTAGGTGATTGGAACACTAAGAGAACTACCAGGGAGAGTGCTGGGTTCAGAAAGTAGTTTTTATTCTTTTAAGGGACATTTGGTTAGAATTTAGAAAAGCTGACAAAACTATCAAAATAGTTCTGCATTTCATAAAGCTGTGTAAATTGAAGGAGAACTTTTGTAGTACTGGAGCAAAATGTAACAGAATATTGAGATATTCACCATGTCAAGAATTTCCAACTTTTGTGCCAAAAAAACAAACAAACACCCGAGAGGAAGCTGCCAGAGAAAATGGGGTCTTCATTCTTTCAGGATAAATTTCCCGGCCTACCTCTTCCAGCCAGAAGTACAGAAGTCCACAGTCACTTAGAGACAGTATTGGCCTTTTGTGTGATGGCTAAGCCTTCAGTGTTCCTAAGAAAGTGTTGTTATAGAAAAGGACTTAACTATACTGTAAAGACACATTTCTCCCTTATATTTTATTGTATTTTTAAATGAATCTTGATACTTTTTTAATTCTTTATAAAAAATATCAACATGAAGTTCTAAAGATACTTCTTTACTGGCCCTTGCCCAAAGCTTTCAGATACTTTATATACTTCATGAAATTCTGTAATTTGGGCCTCTTTTTGAAAAAATAAATTTTTGGCATGGTTAAACAGTTATACAAAAATCCTTTTCATTGACAATTTTACCTGTTTTTATCATGCTTCATTCTCTTCCAAACCATTTATAGACATATATATCAACTAGATGGCTTTATTTGGTTTAAGTTTATATCATTTTTGGTGTTCGTTCTTTTTACTATTCTTTCCATGTATTACTTAAGCTCATATATTTATTTTCATTGGCCATATAGTGCTGATTCACTGTTTATAGATTTAGGGCTAAAATTTATAAGGAAAGAAAAATAAATAATTGTATTGTCCACTATCCTCTGTCATATGTAGCAAAAAACAGGTGTAGATTTTTTTTCACAATCATACTTTATTTTAGAGCATGAAAAGGCCAGAATGGGGTTATGTAAGTCCTGGAAATTTGACTTTCCAATGCCAAGGTTTAGCCTGAATACAGCTGATAGATAGAAAACCTGGTTTTAACTTACAACTGGATTTGATTGGATCATTTAGTGAATAGAATACACAAAGTGCCTCCTGTCATAAACTTCTTAACTATATCTGTGTTTTTAATTATAGGAATTCCTTCTTATTTTTTTAAAATATATTTTTATTGATTTCAGAGAGAGGATGGGAGGGGGAGATAGAAACATCAATGAGAGAATCATTGATTGGCTGCCTCTTGCACGCCCCACACTGGGGATCAACCCGGGCATGTGCCCCAACTGGGAATTGAGCCTTTACCTCCTGGTTCATAGGTTGACACTCAACCACTGAGCAACACTGACTAGACAGTCCCTTCTTGTTTTGACTAAAGGATTTTTTTTAAGAGAAGTGCTCTTTTTGTTGATGAGGGTTTTGAGTGGAAGATGAGGAAAAATCATTCAGTCCCTGAATTATTGACTAAAAGTAAT